TGAATGGGGGGAAAGAATCTTATTAAGTCCAAAGTCTAACTATTATTTAGTAGAAATAAAGTTTCTCATTGGATCAACTTAATAAAGCTGAGAGCTATAAGATATTAGCTGTACTATTAAAATATGTATTTCTAACTGGTCTTTTCCATCTTAACTCACCGAGGAATATAAGTCCACTGGTCCTTAGTGCAAACTTAACACAAAAGACTCAATAACAGCTCAGAGACATAGGATCTACATACAGTTCAATACAAATAAGGACATTAAAATGAAAATGAATTTTTAATGAGTACAACACAGAAGCATTGATAGAAAAATGTCATAATAACATAGGTTGTGATCTATAAATATTTCAGTCATGACCTAAGCAACTACTAACTTTTCATCTGTTAAAACTGGGAACTTATAAATTCCAAGGATGCTCTGACAACAAAGGGTTACAAACCTTTAAATTGTAATTAAGTCCTTACACAATGAATGTGGACTATGCTATCATTAAAAAAAGCTTGTTTACCAAAAAAAGCTTGTATACACTACTGGGATTTTCACTGGCACTCACAAACACAGCACTGAGAACTACTTCTCACACTATGCCAACTGGTTATTAATTTGAATACCTGTTGACATAAAAGATTTTGAGTCTTCAAAACTGAATGATTATCTATGGGTCTGTTCAGAGATACTTAGCAGTAGAGTTCAAATCAATCAGATAACTGTTAATCTCCATCCTATCATTATCTTCCAATAAACAGCTAACCTAGAAATTAGATCTTTCAAATCTCACATGGTCTTAAAATTCAAGATGCCAAATTTCTGATACTTGGGTCAACTCTATGGCTAGACTATGGAATTATGTTAGCCTGCTTAACAGGACTTTTCTCAAAATTCTCTTCTAGGTGAATACTACTGCCATCATTTATCTACTTTTTCTTAAGAGGGTATTCTGATGCTCAATCTACAATACTAACTCAGTTTCAGCCTTAGTCCACCACACACTTGAACATTTGGCTACAGCTATTCTGCAGCCTGCAGTCCCATAAAGGGTGGCTAACTGGAAATGAACCCAATGGTTCTTTTGTAAGGACATCTGAATTTTGAAGCAGTTTGTAAACTGCCAATTGTTTTTCAATAATGTGAAGTTTAAGTAATACGCCATCCATCAGATTGAACTACAAATTGAATTTCCCCTTAAAAAAAATGATACAAGTTATTACCCTGGCTTTAAAATACAAACCAAATCCCATTCTTAAGTGCAAACAACTATTATCAGTGTGTTTGTGAACAGCTATTATCAATGTGCTTGGGGACATTAGGAGGGCCTCCACAGAGCAGCTAACCAGAAAAAGGTCAGCCAATTTGTTAGGGAAAAAGACTTAGGTCCTAGAATTTTAGGTTTTTAAAGCTCAGCCGTTCAAATCTTATTTCACAAGTGAGATTTCAAATCTGGACTCATAGCTTAGTTATAACATTAACTAATTCTTATTGCACTATGCATCAACTATTGTTCTAAGGACTGTACACTTATTTACTCCTCTAATCCACACAACAAGCTTAAAAGAAATCTGAAACCTCTTGAGGTCAAGTAACTTGTCCAAGGTCATACAGCTACTGAGTGCTGAAGACAAAACTCAAATCCAAGGATTCCAGCTGCAGAATCTATGCCTTTAAACCATTAGCCTCTCTCAGCCCAGTCCAAGGCTCTTCCAGGACACTGGAGTTCAAATCAAAGTTCCCGTGTAAGAACTAGGTTTTTCCAATCCCACCTGCAAACTCAGGACTCTTTAAAGTCCCTTCTGTCTGTAAACTTAAGTAATCTGAGCTTTAGGTGAGTGCATCCAAAATGGGTATCCTCTTTGGGAAACCAAAGATGTGCTGGCCTGACTGAAAAGAACTCGTGTTTTTCATCGCAATACTTGAAATGACTAAATGCAAAAAGAGCTAATAAAAGTCTACTAACACTTGTTCTGAGAAAGCCAAGAAGAAACTGAGTTAAAAACAAGAATGACCCTTTCCCTAGCTATGTCCAATTTACGTGGAGAGACAGGAGGCTCACTGATGCATCTGAAAGCTTGCTAAAAAAAAAAAAAATGGGTGAAGGGAAAAATGGGGGGCAAAGTGCGGCGTACTCCATCTCTCCAAAGTCAGGAGCATCAGACTCAGGACCCGTGTGTTAGAAGACAACACCAGTATCAACATCATTCTGCCCTGGCTGGTTTCAGAGCCTGTCCAGGTGGCAGGGGGGTGGCTACGTGGCGGCTGTCCGCATTTCCCCTCAGGCGGCCGAGAAGGTGGCGGCCCCAGCTGGTGACCTGCCCTCACCCCGGGCCCTGAGGCAGAGAGAGGGCTCCCAGACGCGGCGGGAAGTGGAACTCGGGAACTTCCCAGTGGTCCCCGAAGGTTGGGCAAGTCTGGGGCGGCTTGCCCTCAGCCGCTGGGGGCCCCCGTCAGGCGACTGTCCCCCACTTCTGGCCCCGGCACTGCCAAACCCGCCCCCCGGCCCGGAGGGTCGGCCGACCTGCAGAACGCGAACTCCTGAGGAAAAGCGCCGAGGGCGGACGCGTTCCTCTGCGGTCACTCACCAGGTTGAGCGGTCCTTCCATTACTTCCATAGACCCCGGAGGAAGCGGCGGCCTGAGGAAGGGGAGCGGCGGCTCCGGGCCACATGGAGGGGAGCAGCCGGAGTTCGCGACGCAGCAGCAGCAGGACCGTCCCTCGCTGCGCCGCAGAAGCCAGCGGTGGGCGCAGAGGCGACAGCCGCACCACTTCCTCCTCCGGTGCCTCGCCGCGGGCCTGCCCCCTGCGCCGCGCCGCGCCGCGCCGCAGCCACGCACGGCGCGCCGACGTCACACGCGCGGGAGGCTGGGTCAAGGTAGGAGTAAGGACAAGGAAGTGGGTGGAGCTCCAGGAAGGCGGGGCACCGACTGACGCACGCTTTGCGTGGTCAATCTCGCGAGAGGCGTTTCTCAACTTTTGAAAGTCTAATCCGAAGTCCCGTGATCGCTGGCAGGCTTGTTGTAACGTACGTAATAAGGTTGTTTTCTGCCACGTGTTTCGCCCATTTTCTCTCAGGCTCGTTTTTCCCATCATCCACTCTGTTTAGCTTCAGGGGCCCTCAAACTGTTCAAACAGGGGGCCAGTTCGCTGTCCCTCAGACCTGTTGGAGGGCCGGACTATAGTTAAAAAAAAAAAAACTATGAACAAATTCCTATGCACACTGCAAATATCTTATTTTGAAGTATAAATACAAAACGGGGCAGAAACACCCGGCAGGCCTGATAAATGTCCTCGGTGGGGCGCATGTGGCCCGCGGGCCGGAGTTGAGGAGCAATTTGTTCTCCCATTCTCACCTTTATTCCATTTGCACTTAACCAGATTCGAGCAATTCTGGACAGAAGGTGAAAACGAATTCAAGATTTTGCCCTCAGGTTACTTACAAACTAATAAAAGAAATGTGCCAAACCACTATAGCAGGTTATTTCACGATTACTAAACAAATAACCATTGTGAGTTGTGCTCCCAGAAATCATTTCAGTTCTCTTGGGACCCAGGGTACATGGAGTCAAAGTGACCCACGAGGCGAGGCAGAAGCTATTTGCCCTGCGGTGGAATTTTGAACCTTGAGCCTGCAGGAGGCTGGTTTCTAAACGTCACCTTTGACCCAAAGGACAGAATCTAGACTCCCATAGGTTACCAAACTTGTTTGCCTACTGCCCCCTTTAAAGAAAAAAAAAATTTACTGAATGCTCCCTGGCAATTAAAAACTTTTGTACTACATCCATAGACCAGGATTAAGTGTATATCTGCTTTTGCATACCCTCTGGATCAGTCCAGCAACTCCCCAAAGGTAGTATTGCTCACTATGGGAAACATCGATTTAGATAAAAGAAAGATTGTTTTTGCCTTGGGCATTGGGCTCATTTGAAGAATTCAATCCGTTTTGGGAAATAGACTCCATAAGTCAAATTAAACTGTGTTGTAGGGTAAATCAGTAATCATTTAAATTATTTTTTTTAAACAATGCTGTGTGAAATACTTTTTGACCATGAGTTGTTTATAAATTCTGACACAGCCCTTTTTTGGGATGATAAATCCAAGAAGATTTGAGTATAAGA